TCTGGTCTTGTTCGGATCACTAAAACGAGTTTCATTCTAGGCCTATTAGTTGTTTGATTCAATTGTTAAATCTTTGATGATTCGCTGTCAATTTCGTTGACGATCTTCACCCATTTTATTTCGATTCTGCCGATTGAGTTCACCATGATACACTTTATTCAGTTGCATTGTAGGCGTTTTTAACAATATTTGCTGCCGGTCGCTGAAATCGGCTAAACGCTTCTCAATTGTCAGTAACTCCGAAAAAACAAACCAAATTAAAAGAACACGAAATAAAAACGGGTACGACAAAAAAAGCGAGAAGCAAAACTCGACAGAACAGAGAAAAACCAAATTTTAAACTGTTCGTAATACTAAAATCTCCGGAGTTTTTAAAAGGACCAATTTGACAGCAATCGGTAATGGAGTTACGTTATTCGTCACCAGATGGTGGCAAGCGTTAACGATCTCTTACTTGACTGACTCATTTGAAATAATAATAATGCCCAAAGAGATGTTTTTTTGGCACGATTATGGCAAATAAATTCAAAAGTAGTTTTTTTAATTTTGGCATTAAAAACAAAGGAGATCTTGAATGAAAGTGAACCTCGCAGTAATTTGCACTACTTAGGCAGTAGTGAAAATAAGGCCTGAAAAAAATTCAGGCCTGTACGGGATTTGAACCCATGACCTCTGCGATACCGGTGCAGCGCTCTTTTTCATTTTTTTTTTTTTTTTTTTTTTCAGGCCTTATTTTCACTACTGCCTAAGTAGTGCAAATTAATTACTGCGAGGATCACTTTCATTCACGTCTTTATCCGCAGTTCAAATATATGACTTTCATATATTCTTAACCATTTAAAGGAGATCTTAGGATTCAGCGGTGTCACTAAAAGGTAATGATTAAAACAAAAGATAAGTTTTCCATTAGCTTTGGCAGTGAGTTGAAATTAATTTACAATGAACTCAAAACTATTCAGAAGAGAAAAACTGTTTAAATAAACTTCTTTTCACTCTAGGCCTACTAATTGTTTAATTCAGTTGTTAAAATGTTGATGATTCGCTTTCGATTTTCGTTGACGATCTTCACCCATTTTATTTCGATTCTACCGATTGAGTTTACCATGATGCACTTTATTCAGTTGCATTGTAGGCATTTTTAACAATATTTGCTGCCGGTCGCTGAAATCGGCTAAACGCTTCTCAATTGTCAATAATTGCAAAAAAACAAACCAAATTAACAGAACACGAAATAAAAACAGGTACGAAAAAAAAAGCGAGAAGGAAAACTCGACAGAACAGAGAAATACCAAATTTTAAACTGTTCGTAATACTAAAATCCCCGCAGTTTTTCAGCCGGTCGCCGAAATCGGCTAAACGCTTCTCAATTGCCAGTAGCTACTAAAAACGAAACAAAAGAAAAGAACACGAAATAAAAACAGGTGCGAAAAAAAGCGAGAAGTGAGAAAACCTATTATTTGTTTAATTCACTTGTTAAATTGTTGATGATTCGAAATCAATTTTCGTTGACGAACTTCACCCATTTTATTTCGATTCTGCCGATTTAGTTTACTATGATGTCCTTTAAGTCAATCGCATTGTAGGCGTTTTAATTTTTTTTTGTCGGTCGCTGAAAATAGCTCAACGCTTCTCAATTGTAAATAATTGTTTAAAAGAACGGAACAAAACAAAAGAACACGAAATAAAAACAGGTACGAAATAAAAAGCGAAAAGCAAAACTCGACAGAACAGAGAAAAACCAAATTTTTAACTATTCGTTATACTAAATTCTCCAGAGGTTCTAAAGGACCCATTTTTGACGGCAATTGGTTATACAGACCGATGACGCCGGTAAAATAGTTATGTCATTCGTCACCACGAAATAAACACAGGTGAAAAAAAAAAAAGGGCGGGAAGCAGAATTCTACAGAACAGAGAAAAACCAAATTTCAAACGCTTCGTAATATTCAAATCTCCAGAGTTTTTAAAAAGACCAATTTTGACAGAAATCGGTTATACAGTCAAATGATGCTAGTCATGTCATTCGTCACTATTGAAAAAAACCAAAACAAATGAAAACAAAACACGAAATGAAAACAAGTACGAAAAAAATAGAGCGAGCGGGAAAACTCGGCAGAAAAAAGATAAACTAAATATTGAACTATTCGTAATGCTAAATCTCTGAAGTTAGTAAAAGCACCAATTTCGACACGTCTCGTTTACAACAGTCCAGTGACGCTAGTAAAATAATTACGTTATTCGCTACCCGATGGTTGCAAGCGCTAACGATCTCTTACTTGATTGGCTCATTTGAAATAATGATGATGCCCAAAGACATGTTTTTTTTCGGCACGATTATGGGAAATTTATTCAACTGTAGTTTTAGTTTGCGCATTAAAAACAAGGGGGGATCTTAAGATTCAGCGGTGTCACTAAAACATAATCATTAAAACAAAAAATTCAGTTTTTCATTAGCTTTGGCAGTGAACTGAAATAAATTTACAATAAACTCAGAACTGTTTAGAAGGGAAAAACTGTATAAATAAACTTTTTTTAGTTAACACGCACTTAATTCTACACCAGATGGTTGCAATGAGACAATTTTGATGTCCTCTTATTAGCTCCCTTCGAAGTGAGGTCATAAACATATAAAGATAATAGTTATTGGATTGTGAAATACATCCTCATGCAAAATATTCGTCATATTCTTCCTTTTTATAGTTTTTGTCATCGTGGATCGTGGCTTTATATCTAGCAACTCTCCATTTACTTTGGAAGTAATCAAATTTTCAACAGAAGGAAAAAGGTGAGAAAGACCTTATCATCATTAGCTGTTTTCTTCTGGTATTGTTCGGATCACTCAAAAGAGTTTCATTCTAGGCCTATTAGTTGTTTGATTCAATTGCTAAATTGTTGATGTTTCGCTGTCAATTTTCGTTGACGATCTTCACCCATTTTGTTTCGATTCTGCCGATTGAGTTTACCACGATGCTCTTTATTTAGTTGCATTGTAGGCGTTTTTACAAATATTTGCTGCTGGTCGCTGAAATCGGCTAAACGCTTCTCAATTGCCAGTAACTGCTAAAAAAAACAAAACAAAACAAAACACGAAATAAAAACAGGTACGAAAAAAAAGGGAGAATTAAAACTCGACAGAACAGAGAAAAACCAAATTTTCAACTGTTCGTAATACTGCAATCTCCAGAGTTTTTATAAGGACCAATTTTGACAGAAATCGGTTTTACAGTCCGATGACGCTAGGAAAATAGTTATGTTATTCGTCACCAGATGGTTGCAAGCGTTAACGATCTCTTATTTTATTGACTCATTTGAAATAATGATAATGCCCAAAGAGATGTGTTTTTTGGCACCATTATGGCAAATACATTAAAAAGTAGTTTTTAATTTTGGCATTAAAAAGAAAGGAGATCTTAGGATTCAGCGGTATCACTAAAAGGTGATGATTAAAACAAAAGATACGTTTACCATTAGCTTTGGCAGTGAGTTGAAATTAATTTACAATGAACTCAAGACTTTCCAGAAGGGAAAAACTGTTTAAGTAAACTACTTTTCACTATAGGCCTACTAAATGTTCAATTCAGTTTTAAAATGTTGATGATTCGCTGTCAATTTTAGTCGACGATCTTCATCCATTTTATTTCGATTCTGCCGATGCACTTTATTCAGTTGCACTATAGGCTTTTTTAATGATATTTGCTGTCGGTCGCTGAAAAAAGCTCAACGCTTCTCAATTGTCAGTAACTGCTAAAAACGAAACATAACAAAAGAACACGAAATAAAAACAGGCCCAAAATAAAAAAGCGAGAGATGAGAAAGCCTATTATTTGTTGAATTCAATTGTTAAATTGTTGATGATTCGCTGTCAATTTTCGTTGACGATCTTCACCCATTTTATTTCGATTCTGCCGATTGATTCTTCCACGACGCATTTTAGTCAATCGCATTGTAGGCGATTTTAGTGATATTTACTGTCGGTCGCTGAAAATAGCCAAACGCTTCTCAATTGCCAATAACTGCAAAAAAACAAACCAAATCAAAAGAACATGAAATAAAAACAGGTACGAAAAAAAAAAACGAGAAGAAAAACTCTATAGAACAGAGGAAAACCAAATTTTAAACTGTTTGTAATACTAAAATCTCCGCAGTTTTTAAAAGGACCAAATTTTATAGCAACGGTAATAAAGTTTCCTTATTCGTCACCAGATGGTGGCAAGCGTTAACGATCTCTTACTTGACTGACTCATTTGAAAAAATAATAATAATGCCCAAAGAGATGTGTTTTTGCACGATTATGGCAAATAAATTCAAAAGTAGTTTTTTTAATTTTCTCAGGGTAGATGGGGCTCTTTAGCCGCGGTGAAGGCAACCCATCTAGGGGAGGGAAAACCCTGATTTCAAACCTCCACTGCTTTGTGGCTATACCTGATAGCAGGAAAAGCTTCAGGAGTAAACCTCGAGGTTAAATCCGGAGTGGAGCCCCTAAGGCGAAAGGCAGATGCACAGCACTACCTTCCGGCAGCTCCTGCAGTGAAACTGGCTCCAAATTGTAAAGGTTCACCCTTTCCCTTGGACTCAGCCAGCGGAACCGAGAGGGGGACACTGAAGTGTGGGCAACCCAGCGTCTCCATTCTAACCCGCCCAGGCTTTCAGCGCAAACTGGAGAGGTCACTCCAGCGGTTCTTTGCAAGATTCCGGCACAACACGGGATGAGGCAGTTCACCGGTTCTAAGCTCCTGACCGATTGGCGTAGGTTGGAGCGCCAGGGGTATCATCCGACGGTGGGAGAAGCCCTCGTAGCTTCACTGGGCAGCTACCGCCCGCCTCAAGCTGGGCAGCCCCCAGCCAGTAAGGTGCTGCCCCGCCATGGCTCGCCTGCTCTACTGGGTGCGTAGGGCTTAGGGGACCTTCCCCGACAAGCGAGTCACAACTTTGCACCAGGCAAAAAGAAAACATTAACGAAGACTCCAGCTCTTCGCATCGCAAGCTGGAACGTTCGAACTATGTGCCCTGGTCTCTCTGCTGATCTTCAACAGATAGACGACTCCCGCAAGACCGCCATCATCAACAAGGAACTGACACGGCTTAACATCGACGTTGCCTGTCTCCAGGAGACTCGGCTGGCCGACAGCGGCTCTCTTAGGGAATCTGACTACACCTTCTTTTGGCGAGGCTTGTCCCAGGACAAGCCGAGGCTGCATGGAGTAGGTTTTGCTGTGAGGAACTCGCTGCTCGCCACCACAGAAACGCCGATTGGAGGCAGCGAAAGAATCCTAGTCCTCCGCATGAAGACACCTACAGGGTTTGTCAACTTCCTGTCTGTTTACGCCCCGACCCTCACATCCAGCACAGAAGCCAAAGATCAGTTTTACGAAGACCTGGAGGAAACAGTGTCCCAAATACCCCGCTCCGAAAGCGTATACCTGCTAGGTGACTTCAACGCACGCACTGGTTCCGACTGGCAAGCATGGCCCGCCTGTCTCGGCCATTTCGGTGTTGGCAAGTTAAATGAGAATGGGCAGAGACTGTTGGAACTCTGCTGCAATCGTGGCCTCTGCATCACCAACACCTACTTCAAGTGCAAGGAGCTGCACAAAGTTTCTTGGAGACACCCCCGGTCACGCCACTGGCACCAGCTTGACCTTGTCATTACCAGGAGAGCTGACCTCAGCAGCGTCCTCCACACGCGAAGCTACCACAGCGCAGACTGTGACACAGATCACTCCCTTGTTGGCAGCAAGATCAGGCTGAAGCCTTGTAAGATCCACCACGCCAAGACAAAGGGTCGCCCCCGCATCAACACCTGCGCTACTGCCGACCCAGCCAAGGCTCAGAGCTTCGTCGAGACCCTTCAGGAAAAACTTGCCAACCAGCCTACAACCGATGTCGCGGATGCCAAATGGTGTCACCTCCGGGATGCTATTTACGACTCGGCCATGTCTGCGTTCGGAAGAAAAGCACACAAGAATGCTGACTGGTTCGAGGCGCACTGGAAAGAAATGCAGCCAGTCACGGAAGCTCCTGGCTTACAAGCATAACCCTTGCCACAGCACACGCGACGCTCTGAGAGCAGCTAAGAGCAAGGCCCAGCAGACCGCCCGCCGCTGTGCCAACAAGTACTGGCAGACCCTGTGCGCCAAGATCCAGACAGCTGCCGACTGTGGTCACATTAGAGGGATGTATGAGGGGATCAAGACAGCCACTGGCCCTACGAGCATCAAGACAGCACCGCTCAAAGCAAAGTCTGGTGAAGTCATCACCGACCAGAGCAAGCAGCTGCAGCGTTGGGTCGAGCACTATCTCGAGCTCTACTCGACCCAGAACATCGTGACTGACGCTGCCCTTGATGCCTTGCCCAGATTACCAGTCATGGAGGAGCTTGACGAGATGCCCACACTGGAGGAGCTCAGCAAAGCCCTCGACAACCTTGCCTGCGGCAAGGCGCCAGGGAAAGACAGCATACCATCAGAAGTCCTAAAGCACGGCAAGCCTTTCATCCTCCAGCCGCTTCACGAGCTCCTCTGCCAATGCTGGGTAGAAGGGCACATCCCACAAGACATGAGAGATGCAAGTATAGTCACCATCTACAAAAACAAGGGTGACCGAAGCGATTGTAATAACTATCGCGGCATCTCGCTTCTTAGCACTGTAGGCAAAGTCTTTGCGCGTGTCACTCTAAGTCGTCTACAGAGTCTTGCTTCACGAGTTTACCCAGAATCCCAATGTGGGTTCAGAGCCGCCAGGTCCACAGTGGACATGATCTTCTCCCTCCGCCAGCTACAGGAGAAGTGTCGTGAGCAGCAGCAACCATTGTTCCTCGCTTTCGTGGACCTGACCAAAGCCTTTGACCTGGTAAGTCGAAGCGGGCTCTTCCAGATCCTTCAGAAGATCGGCTGCCCACCGAAACTCCTTGCCATCATCGCCGCCTTCCACGAGGACATGCAGAGCACCGTCTGCTTTGATGGAGCCACCTCGGATGCCTTCCCAGTCAGAAGTGGAGTAAAACAGGGCTGTGTTCTGGCACCAACTCTGTTCGGGATTTTCTTCTCGATGTTACTCCAGTATGCCTTTGCCGATTCCTCGGACGGTGTATACATTCGGACAAGGGCAGACGGCAAGCTCTTCAACATTGCCAGGCTCCGCGCCAAAACGAAGACCTTTGAGGTGCTCATCCGCGAGCTGCTGTTCGCAGATGATGCTGCCCTGGCATCTCACAGCGAGGCAGGCCTCCAACGCTTAGTCGATAAGCTGTCTCACGCCTGCAAAGAGTTCGGCCTTACCATCAGCCTAAAGAAGACGAACATCCTTGCCCAAGATGCACTGACACCTCCCGTCATTACAATCGACAATACTGAACTGGAGGTGGTGGACTCTTTTACTTACCTAGGGTCCACAGTATCAAACAAGGCATCACTAGACGTCGAGATCAGCTCAAGGATTGCCAAGGCAGCGGGAGTAATGGCCAAACTCAACAAAAGAGTGTGGAACAATGACCTGCTGAGCGTGAGGACCAAACTGCAAGTCTACCAATCTTGTGTCCTTTCCACACTCCTCTATGGTAGCGAGTCATGGCCCACATACGCCAGACAAGAGAAGCGGCTCAACGGGTTCCACCTCCGCTGCCTTCGGCGTCTTCTCCTGATCAAATGGCAGGACAGAGTCCCCAACACCGAGGTCCTTGGGCGAGCCGACATGCCTAGCATCTCTACACTACTCATCCAAAGACGCTTACGGTGGCTTGGCCATGTACACCGTATGGACCCCGGTCGCTTGCCAAGACAAATCCTTTATGGGGTACTGCGAGAGGGCGTCCGACGCACGGGCCGACCACTCCTTCGCTTCAAGGACGTTTGCAAGCGTGACCTGCAACTCACTGAAATCATCCCCAACACCTGGGAGATCCTTGCGACAGACCGGGAAGCCTGGCGTCGGGGTGTGAAGGACGGGGCTCACAGGGCTGAGATGAAGGCCAGGGCCGAGGCGACTATCAAGAGGGGGACGAGAAAGAAACGTCAAAGATCAGATCAAGAGGCCACCAATTACATCTGTTCCAGCTGCAACAAAGATTGCCACTCAAGAATCGGGCTTTTGAGCCACTCAAGAGCCCACCAACACTGATGCGCTGACCATCGCCTCTCCGAGACGAGGATGCCATTATATTATATATTATATAGTTTTTTTAATTTTCGCGTTAAAAAGAAAGGAGATCTTAGGATTCAGCGGTGTCACTAAAAGGTAAAGATTAAAACAAAAGATAAGTTTTCCATTAGCTTTGGCAGTGAGTTGAAATTAATTTACAAGGAACTCAAAACTGTTCAGAAGGGAAAACTGTTTAAATAAACTACTTTTCACTCTAGGCCTACTAAATGTTTAATTCAGTTGTTAAAATGTTGATGATTCGCTGTCAATTTTCGTTGACGATCTTTACCCATTTTTATTTCGATTCTGCCGACTGAGTTTACCATGATGCACTTTATTCAGTTGCATTGTGGGCGTTTTTAACAATATTTGCTGCCGGTCGCTGAAATCGGCTAAACGCTTCTCAATTGCCAATAACTGCAAAAGGAAAAAAAAAAGACTAAAAGAACACGAAATAAAAACAGGTACGAAAAAAAAAGCGAGAAGCAAAACTCGACAGAACAGAGAAAAACCAAATTTTAAACTGTTCGTAATACTAAAATCTCCGGAGTTTTTAAAAGGACCAATTTTGACAGCAATCGGTAATAGAGTTACGTTATTCGTCACCAGATGGTTGCAAGCGTTAACGATCTCTTACTTGATTGACTCATTTGAAATAATAATGATGCCCAAAGAGATGTTTTTTTGGCACGATTATGGCAAATAAATTCAAAAGTAGTTTTTAATTTTCGCATTAAAAAGAAAGGAGATCTTAGGATTCAGCGGTGTCACTAAAAGGTAATGATTAAAACAAAAGATAAGTTTTCCATGAGCTTTGGCAGTGAGTTGAAATTAATTTACAAGGAACTCAAAACTGTTCAGCAGGGAGAACCTGTTTAAATAAACTACTTTTTACTCTAGGCCTACTAAATGTTTAACTCAAGTTGTTAAAATGTTGATGATTTGCTGTCAATTTTCGTTGACGATCTTCACCCATTTTATTTCGATTCTGCCGATGACATTTACCATGATGCACTTTATTCAGTTGCATTATAGGCTTTTTTAATGATATTTGCTGTCGGCCAGTGAGAATAGCCAAACGCTTCTCAATTGTTAATAACTGCTGAGAAAAAAAACAAAGAAAACAAAAGAACAGGAAGTAAAAACAGGTAGGAAAAAATAAGCTACATGCAAAACTCAACAGAACAGAGAAAAACCAAATTTTAAACAGTTCGTAATACTAAATTCTCCAGAGCTTCTAAAGGACCCATTTTTGACAGCACTCGGTCATACAGATCGATGAGACTGGTAAAATAGTTATGTCATTCGTCACTACGAAATAAACATGAAATAAAAACAGGTGCGAAAAAAAAAGGGCGAGAAGCAAAACTCTACAGAACAGAGAAAATCAAATTTTAAACTCTTCGTAATATTCAAATCTCCAGAGTTTTTAAAAGGACCAATTTTGACAGAAATCAATTATACAGTCTGATGATGGTAGTCATGTCATTCGTCATTTCTGAAAAAAAAACCAAAACAAATGAAAACAAAACACGAAATGAAAACAAGTACGAAAAAAATAGAACGAGAGGGAAAACTCGGCAGAAAAAAGATAAACTGAATATTGAAATCTTCGTAATGCTAAATCTCCGAAGTTAGTAAAAGCGCCAATTTCGACACATCTCGTTTACAACAGTCCAGTGACGCTAGTAAAATAATTTCGTTATTCGTTTCCCGATGGTTGCGAGCGTTAACAATCTCTTACTTGATTGGCTCATTTGAAATAATGATGATGTCACAACACATGTTTTTGGCACGATTACGGCAAATTTATTCAACAGTAGTTTTAATTTGCGCATAAAAAACAACGGAGATCTTAGGATTCAGCGGTGTCACTAAAACATAATGATTAAAACAAAAAATTCAGTTTTTCATAAGCTTTGGTAGTGAATTGAAATTAATTTAAAATCAGCTCAGAACTGTTTAGATGGGAAAAACCATTAAAATAAACTATATTTAGTCAACACTTACTTAATTCCACACCAGATGGTTGCAATGGGACAATCTTGATGTCCTCTTATTGGCTCCCTTCGAAGTGAGGTCATAAAGATATAAAGATAATAAGACCAATTTTGACAGCAATCGATCATACAGTCCGATGACGCTAGTAAAATAGTTACGTTATTCGTCACCAGATGGTTGCAAGCGTTAACGATCTCTTACTTGATTGACTCATTTGAAAGAATAATGATGTCCAAAAAAACAGGTACGAAAAAAATAGAGCGAGAGGGAAAACTCGGCAGAAAAAGATAAACTAAATATTGAAATGTTCGTAATGCAAAATCTCCGAAGTTAGTAAAAGTGCCAATTTCGATACATCTCGTTTACAACAGTCCAGTGACGCTGGTAAAATAATTACGTTATTCGTTACCCGATGGTTGCAAGCGTTAACGATCTCTTACTTGATTGGCTGATTTGAGATAATGATGATGCCCAAACACATGTTTCTTTTGCACGATTATGGTAAATTTATTCGACAGTACTTTTAATTAGCGCATAAAAAACTAGAGAGATCTTAGGATTCAGCGGTGTCACTAAAACATATTAAAACAAAACATTCAGTTTTTCATAAGCTTTCGCAGTGAGTTGAAATTAATTTACAACTAACTCAGAACTGTTTAGAAGGGAAAAACTGTTTAAATAAACTATATTTAGTTAACACGCACTTAATTCTACACCAGATGGGACAATTTCGATGTGCTCTTATTGGCTCCCTTCGAAGTGAGGTCATAAACATATAAAGATAATAGTTATTGGATTCTGAAATATATCCTTATGCAAAATACTCGTCATATTCTTTCTTTTTATTGTTTGTGTCATCACGGATCGTGGTTTCATATCTAGCGACTCTCCTTTTACT